GAATAATATTGATAAACGTCAGAAACCTTAAAGCCGGCATACTAACGTAAACCCGATCACAGTGTGGACATTTTTTGGCATGTGGACTGTCCAGTGACCGATGAGTTTGTTTATGCCGTGATAAGTTTGAACTAGTTGCATATGATTTACCGCATTGATTACACAGATAACGATCCTGGAAATCTGCGCCAACTTCCACCTGAACAACACGAAAAACCAATAAATTGAACGTGGAAAAGAAAAAAGTAAATAAATGAATAAAAAACACATAAATTAAACACCAAAGTAATGTAAAAGTTGTCTGAAAACTAAGATTTTTTTCTAATGTCAATTTGCAACAAATACATCCTAAAAGTATAACCGATATGGTTAAAATAAGTTAACTGTATAACATAGCTGACCTCCTCTTTTTTGATTTGAACTTTTTTTCGTTTTGATCGACCATCCGAAAGTTGCAACGCATCAATTGTATAGCCAACAGTATCACTACAGTTCTGCAAATAAATGACTAATATACCATTTATTGAAATAAATCCAATCTTATAAAAACATAAATTTTAGATTTTTTTTAGAAAATTGTAAATAAATCATTGACTTTAATAAAAACTGCAAGATACCTTGAAGTACTGTGATGTACTTGGTGTACTGCTAATTACAGTTTTTTTGTTGTTTGATAAATTCAGAATCTTGTCAATCGAAAAACTTCCAGTTCGAGGGGTTGACTGAAAATTGAGTTAACTTCAGCACCGCTAACACCAAAAATATTGACCAATAGTAAATGTTACAAATAAAGCATGTTGTTTTCGTGGTTGTCATAATGATGCAGAAGGCTGTAACAAATATTTTAAGCAATAAATTACTGGTTTAATCGTTTAATCACTAAAGCAGTTTCAGAATTTTTTGCCATCGTTTTGAGCAATCAATTTTTTTCCTCATATTTTAGCCTGTTGCGCATGATTGAGTTGTGACTGTTAAAAATCTGTTAAAAATATGTATATGTATATAGGTGTTTATAAGAACAAAAATTAGAGCAGTAAAAAAAGTTCTGTTTTAGTTGAAACGCTGTTAGTTCCACTATTTCAACACTGCACCATTAAACGGTCCTATATGATGATAAAAATTTGGGTCCCCCCCACTGTCCCGCGATGTATTTCAGCTTCAATGTTTATGTAATGTTTAGCTTCAATGTTTATGTCTTTTTTTTTTCGTTATTGATTTTAAAAATAAGCAATACAAAAGAAAGAAAAAAAGAAAGAATTTTTCCACTTTTCTTCTCGAAAATTTTTTGATATGTTTTATAAAAAATTGGCATGACTCAAACACTGTGCTCGAACAAACAGCATACAGCTTTGCATAATAAACAGTGGCGGCCGCGACGGCAATGTTCCGCCAGCCGAAAAAGTCAGTGAAGCGCTGTGCGCGTTACCGTAACCGGATTGCCAGCAGCACCGCGCCGAGGCGCATTGAAACTTCAGTGCACTTTGGGTTAATCAGTTAACGCCGCCGCACCGGTCGGCCTTCTGCTGTCGCTTTTTCTGCTGCTGCTGGCTACCGCTTCGGTCGGTCATACGCAGTGTTCTTCGACTGACGACAACGACTGAGATGGAATGAGAAGATGGATTGCGAGAACGAAAACAAATATAGGTATCCAGGAAAAGACTGGATATTTGGACAAAACAAAGACAATGTTGTATACAGTTTTGAAACCAAAAAAAAAAATCCCTTTAAATTATTTTTTGACTAGTTAACAGAAAAATTTATACATGAAATCCTTGCTTTCTGCTTTTTTATTTTCTTGGCTATATAAGGATATAAGGTTTTTCCAGCAAATTTTATTGAATTTAATAATTGCAAAAAATCCTGATCATCAAGGCTAAATTACTTGAGCGTAATTGAAAACTTCCTTCCTGTTTTCTCATTCATAGTTGGTTAGAGTGAAAGAAATTTTTCACCATAAAATTGTTCTATTGATATTGTGAAGTTGTTTGCAAACAACAACAGATTAAGCAAGAAATAAAAAAAAAAAAAA